TTATCTGTTTTATGAGCTTTACTGAGGCGAAACTTCGCTGTGTTCAAGTAAACTTTATTTTATGAGATTTAAGTGTCCTTAATACAATCTGATGTGAATATTTCACTATCTATCCATACATCAATTGTGAAGAAAAATTCAATATTTTGAGGTCCTTGTGATGATAGGAATCAGTAGTTGGAGACCCTTGGTGAAATGGTTCGAAGTTGTTCACAATAGCACCGATGTAATGACTGTCTAACATCTTCTAAAGCTGGAGCATTTTTATCAATCTTGATTTTCTCACCAGACCCCTTTTCTTCTTTGTATGCTGCTGTAAAGTGTGGTAATTTGAACCGTTGCACTCATGTGTTAGGTTCTATGTTGATTTTGTCTGTCTATAAAGTACGTGAAGCGGAAAGATTAGCTTTGTAGCTGAAACACTTGATCGTTTGCAGAATGCGAAAGTATTCACAGTTCTGGACCTCCGCTCAGGCTACTGACAGCTACCAATAAAAGACAGCGATAAAGAGGAAACAGCATTTATTGTGGGCAAGAAGCAATACCAGTTCAAGCGGATGGCATTTGGTCTTGCAGGCGCACCACTTACATTTAGACGGTTGATGATGTTGTTGCTGAAGAATTTAGAGAACGTAGAGGTGTACGGCGATGACCAGGTGGTGTACAGTCAGACGGAAGCAGAATATCTAGGACATATGATAGCTGTTTTGAGACGCACCGATGAGTTTGGACTACGTATCAATAAAACAAAATCTCAGGTCACCAAGAAGAGGGTTACGTTGCTAGGACACAAAGTTGGAACCGGTGAAATGAAACCACTAGCTGAGAAAATTCTGATGGTCAGAACTATTCTAGTGGCGAATTACAAGAGGAAACTGCGACAGTTCTTGGGTAGAGCAGCATTCTACAGTCGGTTCCTCAGAAAATTTCAATGAGATAGCAGCACCTTTATATAAGCTACTTGGCAACCCCAAATTTGTGTGGACGGAGGAGGCACAAAAAACGTTTGATCACATCAACGAACTCCTAAATGACCAGGAGATGACGTTAAAACTACCAATACCTGGGAGGCTATTTGTCGTGTCCACCGATACAAGTGATTATAGAACAGGCTCAGTCCTGAGACAGACTGGAGGAGTAGTGGAGTATGCCAGCCGTGACCTAACACCCGCAGAACAGAAATATTGTACATTGGAAAAGGAATGTCTGGCGATAGTTTGGGCGCTGGAGAAGTGGAGATCGTACCTCCTCGGTCAACGATTCCATATTGAAATGGATCACAAACCTCTACAGTGGCTTAAGACAGCGAGAGACCCCAGAGGAAAATTATCACGTTGGGTGTTACGACTGCAAGAATATGACTTCACCATCGGCCATGTGGCAGGGAAAGAAAAGTGGTTGGCAGACTTCTTATCAAGATCAGACTAAGAAAATGAGCTACCTGAGATCGCATATGGTGTACTTGCAGTGGAATGGGACCCATTAAGACTTATTTGTCTTCAGAAGTCGGACCTGACACTGAAAGAAGTGATCAAAGCCATAACTGAAGGGACAGAGACACAAACGTCTGTGGGAGATAAAGAGTTGAGAACGTCGTTGACACAGAAACAGCGCCTACGGATGAATACTTATGGAATGCTGACGTGGCGAGAAAACGGCGTAAACTGGTTGGCAGTGATTCCGAAATGTCTACGCGACAAAATGATACAAGAATGCCACCAGTTAGATCATACAGGTGTCTCACGGACAGCTGACCTTGTCAGACAAAGTGCGTACTGGCCAGGTATGAGAGAGATGTTGCCAAACACGTGCTGGGTTGTCCTCATTGTCAACTGATGAAAGGTGATCGGTATGTACGGCCGCCGCTTCAGTCGATCCCAGTAGCAGCAGTTGGTGACCTCTGGTCTGTGGACGTAATAAGGCCATTTCCACAGACATCTAGTGGCAACCAATACCTGTTGGTGATGACGGAGCATGCTACACGATGGGTAGACGCTGTCGTGATTCCTGATCAACGTGCGAAGACAGTGACCACAGCAGTGATGCAGCATATTGTCGCGGATCACGGTGTGCCGAAGATGATACTGACTGACCAAGGTCCTTGTTTTGAGGGTGAAGAATTCAAATCCTGTTTGGAGCAGCTTGATATCAAGAGATAAGAACGACGCCGTACCACGCGCAGACTAACGGTCTAACAGAACGGAATAACCGTACACTGAAGGAAGAAGTGGCTAGCTTCGAAAGGGGGAAATTGAGAGACGGAACTGCTGTTAATATTATTAGCCCATCGTGCCTAGGTACAAGGAACAACCAAGAAGTCGTCGTTCCAGTTAATGTATGGCAGGAAACCACGGCTCACAATACATAGTAAGACCTGGCCCCAACAACAGCAGTGGAACATGACAAGATTGAGAGAGGAGCGGAAACAGGTAATCAGGAATGTGGAACAAAAGCAGAAGGCTGATGCTGAAAAGTCTGAGCAGAGAGAAGGAAGTAAATAGAAACCATTTTTGAGGTCGGAGATCAGGTGAAATGTAAAGAACGAGGATATACGTCAGGAGGTGAATATGGCAGAAGGAAACTACTCCCGAAGAGGGAAGGACCGTGCATCATTACCGAGAGACGCGGTTGAGTTTATACCATCAAAAAAGGGAACAAAGAGAAAAGAGTAGACACCAGCCTAATTCAAAAATGGAAGCAGTGGGAAAAAGACGAAACAGCGAGTGAAAACCAAGAGAAGACAGCACCAAGACGATCAACACGGTTGCAAGCCCGGAATTTTGAGGGGGGACGAGTGTAGTGGGCGTTGCTGATAACAGTGGATATAAGTAGTATGTGTTGAGAGGGTAGCAGGAATCATAGGGAATTACCGGCAATGGATGAGGTTTCTGTCCGTCATGTTTGTCTTCTGTCGATTGAATACTACATAAATCCATTTTTATCATCAACGCCCACTACAGTAGTAGTGGTCAGTACGGTGAAGCTTTTAATGAGCGTAAGCGTATTCCAAGTATGTTATATGGAATTTAACTGAATTCTTGGTTGCTGCTGACTGAAAAAACTAATGTAGAGCGTCGCACACGAACGCATCAACTCAAGTTGCCACACTTCACAGTAATACACAAAAAACATGTGCATAGAAAAAGTGATATCAAAGTAGACAAAGTTGTGAGTGAATATATTCAAGCTTCAGATAATGTCAGGGAGTGAATACATCTGCATCATTGTGACCGATTTTCAGCCATCACCAAGAGTCCTCAACCACTTATTCCTTTCGTCTCCGGGACCCCATCCAGCTAGTTCACATCTCCCCACACGACTCAGACCAACGGTTGGGGACTTCATCGACTGATGTCACGTGTTGGTGTGCCCACTCTGAACCCTCTTGCAACCTAATTCAGCTAACCCTAGCAAGGCGCATCGAGGTAGGTGGTGGCTTGGCAAGCGCAGCACATGTCCGAGTCACTTCAGTTGATTAAGGTTCACAATCTCATCAATCGACTTGCCTGTCTTGCCTCGTACGCTTCGCCTGACTTCATTGCTTACATGGTGATTTCATCAAACTCGAGTAATGACGACATCTATGATCAAATACTTGTAACCACTTCATGTCTTCTGATTTCAGCGATCATATCTCACAGCCGTACAATAGGACATGACGGACTGCAGAGTAGTATACTCATCCTTTGATCGATAGTCGGCTATCTCGCCAGTTGGCACAGGTGACGCAAGTTGGCAAATACCAAATGGGTCTTCTGTATCCTTGGCGTTAGGCCACTGAAGCGTTGCTAAGGGCCAGTTGAACTGCGCTTCAGTTTTCTGCCCAACGTCCTAGCTGCTAATAAACAACATGTTTATTTACCCCAGTAAGGCTTTTGATTAGCCTTTTAATTGGAAATTACTACAAAAGCTGTCCTTTTTCAGGTTTGGTGCTATATTACAGCCCTGGATAGGAAGCTATGCGTGCGATGGACGGCAAAGTTATGGATTAGTGGAACTCTAAATGAAAATCTGTGATGAGTGGAGCTCCTCAAGAAACCACTCTAGGTCCTCTACTTTTCCTGTTGTGTAGATAAAGCACTGCGACTCCCGTGAACCTACTAACCGATGATGTGAAAGTCTGGAGAGTCGTACGGAGAGAGATGTTGGTAGGTAAACGCTTCAAGTAGACTTCTGTGAACTAGTAGGTTGGTCCGAACGTTACTTCCCGGAAATTAGCTCCAATAAATGTGTAACAATGCACGTTGGTCATGGTGATTATTTCCAGTAATCCGTTGATAGTAGTACACTACAAAACCGTCTTGGAAATGCAAGACTTAGAGGTAATCATAAGCCATGACTTGAGAATATTTTTTTTGTAGCGAAAATTCTCCCTGTTATTGTCCACACACAGCTTTCAAATATTTCGATGAAGATATCCTAAGGATATTCTATTCTACATGTATATCAAACCTGTCTCAGAATACCTCATTCAAGCAGTCAGCCCGTGTCGAAAAAAGGATACGGACATTCAGAGGGTAAGTAAAAGTACTATCACATTCTACTTTCAGTCACTAAGGCATGGATTCGAACTATAGTGCTTAGTATGGAATGCGGTATACAGATGAACTGCATCTTATCTTACTTTGAATGAAGAACATTCTTTCAGTGTGTGAGCTTCATTACCTAACTTGGTTTCCTTTTTGTTGTGCTTCTTCATGCTTTTTAACACAATTATTATCTTTCCTCATTATATTTGTTACGCCTGCTATTCTATCCATCAATATGAAGTGGAACAACTGTGACCAACGTGCAATTTGTCACGTCCATAGTTGAAGCATATACCTGCTTTTAACTCTTATATGTTTAGCCAATAAAAAAATACGTGTGTAGTTAAAAACCGATTACATGTAAGTGAACTCAAGAAAACACTTCATAGATAACAGGACTCTATATGTTGCCTACGAAAATGTGATACGTTGAGTAATACGATAAATGTAAATACACAAAAAAAAACTTACTTAACTAGGTCGAAGATAAACTCAAGCGGCTCAGGTTTTATCATTAATTCATCAAGATCTGAATAGCCTAATCCACCTTGTTCTTGTAGACTCATTAATCCACAGCAATGTTTGACAGCATGATCTTTTTTATTCAGCATATAATCACGTAGCTTTTTGTTGACAGCCGGGAATGAACTCAGTCTTTCAGCAGGTACAATGAATGAAGAAACTTCACCTGGCAACATGGTCCCTAAACAATGCTCCCAAAACTAGTAAACAAAGTTTTTAAAAAATGGGACAGGAAGAAGGAAAGAAATTGATATTGTTTGAAGACTTCAAAGTATAACTACAAATTTATGAGTGCATTAGTGCAATAACCTCAGCTGGGGACAGTAACACGTAAATATCTGGGATTTGTACTAGAGTATAACTTCATGTTGATTTCAAAGTGGTACCGACATTAGTTGGAAAACTAGTGAGAACATGGGAACACTAGACACTTTTTTCGTCCCCGCAAACCTCCAGACTGAATTACCATCCAGTGCTCATTAGTAAAATGCAACGAGGTAAGATTCCCCGAGGTTTTGATAAGAAGTGATAACTGGTAGGGAAAAGCAGGTTGGATTTGGGGACAAGTACTCAACTATGGCGTTGGATGAAGACAGAGCTACACCACGAAAGTGGACTATTGGATTTCTATCCAGTGGCTCAACAGTAACATACAGGCTGCGAGACCTGAAGCTTCTAGGTTCTCCACGTGGGAGGGTCGTGTGTGCACAGCTGAGTCCCAAACTAGGGCGAAAAACCTGTCCAGTGCTCCCGGGTTTCCAATGGTTCTCGCACTGATGTCACTCCACGATGAATACCATCTCGAAGTCAATAAAATCCCCACAAACCTCTACACTAAGTTCTATGTTGGTTTATCTGTTTGATAGAGAGCATAATGATGTTGCGTTGTTCAGTGGATGATATTTCAGACACAGTTTAATTTTCATCCTGATGAAGCGATAATTCTTAGAATCTGTATGAGAATGTACTTCTCTTTGCCAAACACCGGAAATGACCAAATATGTGCCTATATAGGTCAAAAGTGGAGGTTACTTTTATACATATTCATCAATATCGCTAGTCAGAGAGTAACATAAAAAGAATTATATTACTGTATGCCATATGAAATTAGAAACAGTGTTATATGAAGTTAGTTGGGTTCGTTTACTCACCGATTTTAGGCATCTAGCATACTTCCTAACTCACTCCTTTGATCAGCAAATGCCATTAGCACATACCCATAGGAGAAATATACAAACCATAGAGGAAGTGACCAGATATTTCAAGTCAAAATATTTCTTATTATATATGTAAGTAAAACTTGGGCACTGTAGCAGACTGTGATTTCACTTTAGTCTGTTTATTAGATGGCGTTCCGCGGTGAAGCAGTATTATTTATTGGATAACGTTTTGGAAGTAATGTACAATAAAGTATGTCTGGAACGTTACCTAGTAAATAATATTGTTTCACTGTGTGACATCTAATAAATAGAATAAAACGGAATCAAATTATTTTTCCAAGTTTGTTTTACAGCAAGCGTAATTTCATATTCAACGTTTTTAACTTTGAACCTGTATGTTTATTACGTCGATACGTAGAATTGTCTTTTTACTTCAGTTGATTAGTAGAATAAGTCTACTGAAACGTTTTAAAGGAGATAACGTTTAACAAGGACCCTTCAGCAGGCTTTGATTCAAAGATGTTCGAGTAATCAATCATTTTAGAAGACAATATAGAAAACACTTGTATTACAGTGGAAATAAAATACTAGCTTAGTAAACACAGAGTTGACTAGTAAAACAAAAGGCAAAACGCCGGTGGAACCTATTAACTATTTGCAAGTGTAGGCGGTGAGTTGTAGACGATATTTAAGCAATGTAGTTGACAATGAATCATGGTTACGAAACTATAATTCCCCTACTAGAATTGACGCTACCTCGATCTAGCATGATACCTATATGTATTTGCTTTGACCTGAAAAACCGATTAATAATTATACCACTTATTTAACAACCGGATGCTTTCTTACTTTTCTCCACTACCTTTGTAACAACATATAAAAAATCTCTACGGTTTACTGACCTAGAATACAGTCAATAAACCACGTGGATTGATTTCATTCTTGATGGATGCCGTGATTGAGTACAGGAACGATGCATGCCTATTAAATATGTTTCCATTACATGAACGATTCAACATTGCATGTGACTCGGGTACTTCTTTTAACCCTGTTTTCTAGACAGCAGTCAGGCATCAAGCAATCAACTATCTTAGGATTTAACAAACTACTAGTCACTTTAGTTGTCGTAGGATCATCTGAAGAAAACATGATTATCGATGAAGAACGCCAGACTATAAATATCTCATGTCAACTAACCTCCAACGACAAAGATCCACTCTTTTGATACTTCCTCTGGAGTGCAGCATAAATGACCTCCACATAATTAAGACTATTAAATCCGGGTTGAGTGTAACCTTCAACTCATAACTCGGTCTGAAAGAACTAATAATCAGTTATTTTATGCAGAATTTACGAATTAAACAGTACACTAAGGCAATTAATCATGAACAAAGTGACTGTTTCAGAAAAACGGCTATATAAAACATGCACCAGCGATTCTCAGGAGAAGAATATCTAATGCAGGTTGGAGAAACCGAGTGGTTGAATGAAGTGGCAGGGGTAACCATTTTTAATAAACATGCTTTTTAAAAACGATAGCTCTTTATCAATATAATCTTCACTCGCTCGGTTTCAAATAAAACTTTGTTGATGAACCTAGAATTTAAAGCATCCGTGTACTTAAGAACCGTCTAAACAAATCAAACAACAGAAAGCTCTTTTCAGCAAAGTTGACTTTTGCTAACTATAAACTGTTCTCCATCTGCATGATCGCCTTTATGTGCATCTACCAGTTTACCCCCCCCCCTCACCTTACGAAACAATGTCCATCGGCCATAGCCGAGTATACCTACTACAAATAAACGAAAGCAAGTAATATAATCCACTTTATTATCACTTATACTTCAACTGTTTTCATCATCATCAACATAGGACGAGGCATTACCGCACAGCGGTCCAAGCTGCCACGATGCATATCAGCACAATAAGTAATGAAACAGTAAGATTAAAGAAGAAGAGAGAAAGAGAAATCAGTCAAAGGCAGTAAGTGAGGAAGAAAACTGAAAAAACTCCAAAATACGCATAGCCACTGAGATCATGGCATGCATCTGTGCCACTGAAATTGATTTTGAACCATATCACCTACAGTCTTCAACCACTTGTTTCTATTATTATGTTTACCCAACCGGCTCGTCTGCATCTCGCGATATAGCTCCGATTAACTGTCAAAGACTTCTGCACTGACACTATGTTTTAATCTGGCCACTTCTAAACTTCGTTCAAACTAAACTTGCTTCAACTAACATCCTGGAATGATACAGATGCTTAACACATTTCCTAGATACCTGAGTCGATGAAGACCCATGACATGATGAAATAACCTCCCTCTGAATCACTACACCTGACATCTACATTGCTCATGTGATGACTTCACAAAACAGCCTGTTCTGGGAATGCGATGGTGGTTAAACACATGAAGCCTCCTCATATCCTCTGACTTTAATGGTTATGTTTCATAGTTAGAGTACAACAGAACGAACTGCAGCACAATACAGTCAGATATCACGGCAGTGCCACAGATAGTATAAGCTGGCAACCAACAACCGGCCATTTTGTACCTGTGCAGAGGTTTTGTCGGCTACTGGCCTATCAGCATTAATCCGACTTCCCAGTTAAGCGAAATGGTCAACGGACTCAACCACTTCACTCCCTATCGTTAGACATATTGCTGAAGATCAATCCTGGGGCAACAATTTGCCTTTGGGAGTCGAGAAAAGCATTCCAAACATTCTCAAACTGCCACTCAAAGTGCCTAGAAGAAGGCATTTTATCACTGTCTTCACCTAACAAGACTATGTCACCTGCATATTCCAAATCTACCAAGGATTCTCCTATAGTTAGATCAGTCCCGGTAGAATCAGACCACAACAGGAGAAGCTCCAAAACAATGTATATGATAAAGTTGAATAGGAATGGAGGGATGGGCATTCTTGACGGGTACCACTCGACATACACAGCTCACCTGACATCTCACCACAGGCTCTACAACGCCCATGGGTGTTCCAGTACTGAGCCTTCAATAGTGATGTACTTACTTGATACCCTGTTCAATGAGAGACACTACCATAATGACTTTTAATTGACAGAGTCAAATGACATATTCAGATCAACACAGCCAGTGTTGGGCGTAAATAATTACAAGCGGAAGTTAAGCTTAAAAAATACCTATTGAACCTAAATAAGTACTACATAAAACATCATCAAGTACGAACTATCCCTATAATAAATCGCTTCCCCAAAATATACCAACCAATGAGCAGTTAAACGCATGCCTATCTCGACAGAATAAAAGTTTTTGCATACGCGAACAAGCTTTAAGCAATACATGTAACAATCAGCTAATTTATGCGCTTCAAACCTCTAGTTGAAATTCTTTTCCTGAATACATTTCCATTGTTTTCCCGTATTTACGTGTATCATCAATTACAGTATGATCATCATCCAATTTACGTATCTGATAATGAAAGATAAATTTTGTCTCCTTTGGATAGGCTAATCCCCCACCAGCAGCTTGACAAGCGGGTGGAATTTTTTCAACACTTCCATAAATAATACGCTTCTCAATATTTTTAAGAACACTTTCAACGTCTGACGTTGGTCTGTACAATGGAGTTCTATCACCCAATTTCCAGTTTTGAATTACAGTTGAAAGATTTCGCAAAAGTTCAGGTTTACAGGAAGCTTTTGAACAATCGTCATGTTTATGCTCATGACTGCAACAATTGTGTACATTTTTGCATGTTTTCTTTTCGTCGGATACTTTGCTTTTACATTTTGACTTTGTTGACTGACTGTCAGAAGAATCCATGTTACTTGAGCTGAACTCAGAGTTCGCGCCCACTGATCTAAATAACAACAGTAAAAACTTTTAAGGAATGAATGGCCACTTTGAAACGTCGACGTTATTCAGTGCACTTCTAACGGTAGTATGAAACCATATTTGCCATCATCATGTCTACATAGAAAGAGAATAACCGAAATAATGTGTGAGTGCTAAAAAATAAAAACAAGTGTAACTTAATAGTAACGTATAAGCTTTTCTGTCGATAAAATGCAAGCAAATTTTAAAATCTCTACATAGGCTGTTGGCTAAATTTGTTCGTTCACGACTATGGACGATACTAGGTCGTTTTATGGATCCATAAAACGATCTATCTACAGAAAACCTACATGGACAGGGTAATATCTGAATTACCATAGCTTTTGCCCAGTTCAGTACAATCAAACGTTAGTAAGATGCTTATTCAGCAGAATTCAACGAATATGCACAGAGGATACTTTAGAAGATGAAAGATGAACACTGACGGATATTTTGTTGGAAAATAACTATCCATCAACATTTATCAGGCAGAACAAAATTAGCAGAGCGTCAAAACTAGAACTGCAGTCAGTCCCAAAGAAGGATATCTTCATCAGCCTTCCGTACAAAGGTGACTCTCAGAGTGCAATCCTTAAGCAGAGACTTAACGCTGCTGTTAGAAGGACTTATTATGCAGCCAGGGTTCGAGTAATCGAAACCACGAAGCCCGTATATTCCCCCAAACCCCCACAGCATGTGAACGATAATGTCATATCCCATTGTATCTACCAATTCAAATGTACGTGTGGTGACATATACATAGGGAGGACTAATAGATCCATGCAAGTAAGGGCCTCGGAACATTTTCCAAAGTGGCTTCAGAAGCAAATTAAATCACCTGAACCTATAAATGTTGGTAGCAGACGTCCAAGTTCTTCGATCGCCAAACATATCGTTGAGACAGGTCACAAGATTGATGTGGCTACTTCCTTTACACCTATTTACAAAACATGTTGGGTAGGGATCCTGAAATTTGTTGAAGCCTTAGCTATTAGGAAGCTGAAACCACCTTTGTGTGTTCATAAACAATTTGTTGTCACACTAAATCTTCCTTGGTGAATTCAGCTATTGAAAACCAAGTTCGATGTACTATTATTTTTTCGCTCTATTGATTTTCATTGTTATTCGGCCTTTAAGTCAGCCTTCCTACCTGACCCCTTTTTATTTTCTCACCCCTTATCTTCATGAGTTTTTATATAAATACCTATGACAAGTACATGTGTGATCAGATAGTTCGAAATGTGTTGCGCAAATACATCACACGGTTCAGACAATTTACGTCTTCTTATTGTTTTGTCGAAGTTTATAAAGGGAACTAATTGTTTTAAATTCCTATGGTTTTATTCGACTTTGGATTACATCATCGCTACTTGCCTTTTGTCATGTTGTTTTATATCAGATGCTGATGCAACATGAGGCAACTTTAACCACTAAGTAACTTCAGGTCCTACGTTGATACTGAATATATGAAATCAGAGCAAATGTAGTGCACGTGAGTGCGTGATTTGAGCGGAAATAACAAATACGATTCAGGAAAGGTGCATAATTAGTGTTTCCAGTGCAAAACTTTTGCAGTAATACGAAGGCAATAATGTGTGCACGGCAAAAAGTATCCAGCAACTCGGTGGTAAGAGGAAGCTGCACCTAAAGGCAGAAACAATGTGAGCATTTCCGAAAAATTTTAACTCGTTAAGTCTCATCAGAATCAGAGAATGGGACCATTTTGCATGTTTTTCAGTCAGAAATCTAAAGTTACGTATACACAGTCCAATGCGATGCCAACAAGAACTATCAATACAAACAAAAAAACGGCACAACACCATAAAGGTTCGACGAAACGTGTAAGGAAACTGTGAACTTGCGATCAGGTTCAATTAAATCTTAGTGATAATGATTTGTATGCAAAAAGACCTTTAATAGGCTGATAAGTAACGTTGGATACGGTAAATGAGTACGCTACGATTGGAATTATAACATCCAGGTTATTTTTTCGTTTTAATAGGCTTCGAAAATCATGGACAGTCATGTCCTGTTCGGGAAAACGATTGCAGAATTCCTCCTCTTTTGGGTTGCCTATTATTAGAAATAAGAGAGTGCAAAAGGACCCAGAGGTTAAAATTACGGACTTTCATGATTACTTTCAAACTAATCACGAAGATATGTGAAATATTTGTCACAATTTAGACAGTAGATTTTAAAGGTTGATCTATAGCTTTTAGGGTGTCTAAGTATATTATCAGGTAATAAATTATAAGACGATTTCTAAGTAGCCACTTTACCTAGCGCTACAGCTAAAAGCTTCACACGAGCTGATCATACTTGCAGAATGAAATCTAACGGCCACTATTTCATCTTTCAGAGCGATAGGCCTGGGTAAAATTTCCAAATATTCCCAACCTACTTTAAACCAATTTTAAATATCCGGATAGTAGGCTATTTCCTGATTCCTTACAAACGTTTTATCTATGAGCTCGCCTGAGCGATCAATTAAGCTGAGGGTCAACTAGAATACGACAGGTTGTCACTATAGTAGAATACGAGTATTGATTGACTTCAGTTATTGCCACTATCATATAGACATCACCCTTTTCACAACATAACATTTTCATGTCTTTAATACAGTGTGTGAACGAAAAAGGTTACCTAAAACTTAAACTGAGAGTGGAACTCGGATTTAGAATGAAGTTAACTGCTGAAACCTATTACCCGAGTTGTGATGGCTTACACTTCGGTGAACGCTCTCAAAAACGGATCTTCATAGAAATTCCAACTGCCACGACTAATACAGGCCACTCGGCCAAGTATTCTAAAGTCTGGAAAACAAATGAAATGTCCAGCGGAAAGTTAAGAGACTGCACATTTAATCATGAGTATACTAAACCTTGGAATGACAAAGTATATGAAAAGAGTGATCCTATGTTTATTGATAGGAATGGCTTCCAAGAGTTGTGGGTTCATCAGAATGAGTATACAACGTCTGGTTTCTTCAGGTGCAGTCTTTAACTTTTGGGTTTTGGCCCGAAACAACTTCGGGTGCACTTGCCGACTTTTAGGTGTCCCCTACATTTTTCATTTATTTTCGTTGACCATTTCCATTTCATTGATTTGTAGTGCACAAACACATGTGGTAATGAAATGTGAACGATGTGCACAATAATATTACCAAGCATAGCTTCCTATAATTGCGGATACAAGTTATTTTTAAACTTAGGGCGCACTGCATATAATGAATTTCATGCGCATTGCAAACATTGTGGGTGCACTTTGGGACTTCTAACAATTTCGGAGAAAAGGCCTAAAAATTTCGGTGAATAACGTGCGTCTCTTTATCTGTGTCCAAGGGAAAACTTTCAGGTTTCTACCTAAAACTTATAATGTGCGCCCAGAGAAAATGCTGGCTAGGATTAAGTATTTTCCCTACTGAGCAAGTAACCTTTTGATTTCACTCACAACTCATGCATATTGATAGATCCCGAATAAAAGGGTGAGAAAAATCAGGGTTTCCTAAGCTTCTAGCTACTCCAAGCCATCAAAAAGCTTCATTGGTTCTGACTAGTCAATTCCATGAACACCTAGATCTTTTAATACACAGTCTAGATTATTGTTCTATGCAATACGTAACACTATTTCCGTCTAATGAAATGCCAATTTTAATGGGAAGGTAAATTTCTAAACTGATTGAACGCTTTTATGCCCAAACAATCACTTTCATAAGTGACCAACAAATGTAACCCTCCAGTTGAAAATAAAACAGATCTCTGTTTAGATGTCCAATGCCCGGTATCCATTTTATAAGTTTGTGCGAAACAACTGACTTCGTCGGGTTTTCGTCCATCTTAAGGAGTGAATTCTTTTTTACTGGTGAATCACAACGTAGCAGATCTATCTACATGCTTTTAATAGCTCCGGAAAACCCGACCAGTATTTTTGAATTTAGTAAAATTTTTGAGGCTGAAAATACGGAACCGATGGATTGCTTGGATTTACTCTCCTAAGACAGCTGTTCAGATGGAAAGTGGAACGTGCAGGGGCAAATTAGAGGGAATAATATAGTGAAAAATAAGTAAAGAGAATGCGGAGGTAAATGAAAACTCGGGTAAATTCAGGTGTGATGGAAAAGGAAACTCAGGGGGATGAATCAAAACCCCAGATAGTCCGCTACGAGGGGCAGTGCGGCCTGGTAGCCTACGAGCGACATGAACCTAACGGACTATGTAATCCAATCTAGTTACTAATCAGAAAGTCAACCGCCAATTGCGGGCGAAGACGGGAAAAGGAGACGGACGGTTAGAAGAGAGCTGTAATTATCCCAACAACTCTTAAAATAGCTGAGAGTGATGTTGAACATATGCATTACAAACAACTTTGGCAAACACTAGATTCAGATGGTTCAAATGGTTGTTGTTGTCGTGTCTGACATCCAGCCTGCCAAGTTCCAGGCTTGATTTCTGTGCATGAATTCTAAGAGTAGCGCTGCAGCCAAGATTTAATAAGTGACGGAGTGGATGGCCATGCGTGCTTAGAATGTTGTAAGTCATTATCGAGTCACCTCTCAGCCTTCTGTATTCCAGAGGATACAGATCACTGGTAAGTTAAAAGAGCTAACAAGCCGTAGAAGTTCAGCCTTCAGAAGCAGTGGGAAAATCAAAAGCTGGCAACGGCGCCAAGAGGGCACACAGGAAGCAGTCATTAAGCCGTTTTAAAGTTATGGGCGAATATCAAGTAAAAGTTGGGCAAAATTGGTGGTGTATAACAGTCATAGATAGGCTAATATACAGGGATGATAATGGCCGGGATTTGGGAAACAGAAATAACTGTACTGGTCGTGGTAGGTAACCAGACTTGTTGGTAGGGGGTCTCGTGGTCTGGTTGAAACTGTATTCTGATTTCTGTATTTATAGGCGACAAGAAACCATAGTTCTGAGACCTTGGATAAAAAATACAAAGTT